GGGGAACTGAGCTCAACTGATGCCTGTAGGGATGGGAGAAATCTAGGGGAGAGCACAGGCCTTCTATTTTGCTTCCATTCCCAAGAGGCCATTTGAAGATGAATGCTTTCATGATGCAATACAACCCTGAAAACCGGACTGATTGATTAAAGATACAAATGACAATTTCCCATTTCTATATTTAATAGCACCTCACCCAAAGTATCAGATCACACAAAAGGATTTTAAAATATTAATATTGAGCCTGAGTTTCCAAGGGACAAGTATAGTCAGGTAGTCATAAAGTTGAAGACCTTCCCCCAGCCACCCACCCCACTCCTGGATTACTGAGCAGCACTAGCAAGCATCCCTCAGCCCAAGTACCTCCCTGGGTTGAAGGCCCTAAAAGGGTATACCCAGAGATTGAGTTGAAAGAAGCCTCAGAGTACAGTTATAGTAGACCTTATCCATTGCTTTCTCTGGGGATCTTAGGTGGGCCAGAATGCTATTCAACCCATCTGAAATGGGTACACTTTGTCCCGTTCTCAGTATCATGAAGTGGAAGGTTTCTTGTCTGGTCCCACCCAGAAGAACAGAGATCTGTCAATTTCTCAGCAAGGAAAGCTGAAAGAGCAGAGAAATTCAATTGCTTTGGATATAAGCAATCACAGAAGTCTCCTGCCAGCTATACTAGGTGACTAGGAACTATACCAAGCCCATTATTTTCTAACACCTGCTCATAGCTACAATTCAGATATGGAAGTTCAAATGTCTATTGCCCACACCAAGTTGATTGGTTGTTTTAATGGAAGGAAAAAAGGCACTACTTTTCCAGCACACAGTGTGGCACCAAACACAGTGCCTTCACAAACTCACCTATAGGAAATACAGGGACTAGGTTACAAACAGTCAATATTTCCTCCTGAAACCAGCTGCTGAATATCACGGCACTACTGCTGTGTGCACTTGAGCAAATTCTTTGCTCAAAAAACTAAATTTGCTGGGTGGTCTTGAGAAAATTCTTTAAAACTTTCTAGTACACAGATTCTGTATCTGTAATAAAGAGAACACACGGTGGTGATTAAGATTAGAAATAAGGTACATTAATTGTCTGAGTGCCATACAATATGGTTAGTGGTGGCACTGGAATTTATAAATAGAAAAGATGTTATGGGAAGAAAAAGGACTTGATTAACTCTTTAAGTACCAGTAAAGACATGCTTTTATTTGTATGCTGTTTACTTTGGTACTAGATAGGCCAGTGTAGACAGATCATGGATGATCAATGGAGATGTAGGGGGATCGAGGAAGATTGGCTTCTTACTTGTAGTGAAAGCTGGGGAGCCAAGCCAATAGATATGGCCAAGATTAAACACTCATGTCTACTCAGTAATAACTGTTCTTTGTGGAGGGCGGAGGGAACACCTGGATCTAACATTGAATGTCTTCCAGGACCAGATAATATTCACAAAACCATTTCCCATCGTTAACTTGCGGAAACGACAAAAATAAGAAATATCTTTATCTACTGCATATTACGTCTTAGAAAATGTGCCCTCAAGGCAGCTTAAAAAGAGAAGCTACTCTAATTCCAAGGGAATTCCGAAGAGAATTCTTTCTCATTAATTTATAAAAACGACACCATGAGTGTATATTGCAAAGTGTATAAGGTTAAAAACGTAAGGGGCTTCAGATCGCAAACCTTTCTTCCCCGAGCCAGAGACAGGTGACACAAAAGGCTGCCAGCGATTTTAATCAACAACATTAATGGCAGGCAAGTAACATCTCACTTTCCGACTCCGGAGGGGCCGTCCTGCAGAGACTACGCCTCCCAGCATGCAGCGCTGCACGTCCCGACGCCGGCGCGATCGGACCAGTGCATGCCGGGAAGTAGAGTTTCCGTTTCTGAACTGCCCCGACGCGTTTCGTTTATGTTGCGTGACTCACGACTTCCGCAGCCCGGAGTCCTCGAGGACTAATACAGTAATTTAAAAGTTCACTTCAGTGATTCTTTTATATTCCTTACGCAGTTTTCCCATTGCCAAGTAACATCCGGACAAAAGAGTTTTCCGTTTCCGGTTGGCATGTTGCCTTGGTAACTGGGATGCACAGCCGCGGAGGCAGTTATGGCGGGGCTGGGCGGTGAGCCCATCCCCGACGGGGAGTTCACCGCGGTTGTGTACCGGCTCATCCGGGATGCCCGGTACGCCGAAGCCGTGCAGCTGCTGAGCGGAGAGCTCCAGCGGAGCCCGAGAAGCCGCGCCGGGCTGTCGCTGCTGGGCTACTGCTACTACCGCCTACAGGAGTTCGCGCTGGCGGCCGAATGCTATGAGCAGCTGCGCCAGCTGCACCCGGAGCTGGAGCAGTACCGCCTGTACCAGGCCCAGGCCCTGTACAAGGCCTGCCTCTACCCAGAGGCCACCCGCGTGTCCTTCCTCCTCCTGGACAACCCCGCCTACCACAACCGGGTCCTCCGTCTCCAAGCCGCGATCAAGTACAGCGAGGGCGACCTGCCCGGGGCCAGGAGCCTGGTGGAACAGCTACTGAGTGGAGAAGGAGAAGACAGCGGGGGCGAGAACGAGCTGGATGGCCAGGTCAATCTGGGTTGTTTGCTGTACAAGGAGGGACATTATGAAGCCGCGTGTTCCAAGTTCTCTGCGGCCCTGCAGGCTTCGGGCTACCGGCCTGATCTTTCCTACAACCTGGCTTTGGCCTATTTCAGCAGCCGACAGTATGCATCTGCCCTAAAGCATATCGTGGAGATTATTGAACATGGTATCCGCCAACACCCAGAGCTGGGTGTGGGCATGACCATTGAGGGCGTTGATGTTCGAAGTGTTGGCAACACCTTAGTCCTTCACCAGACTGCTCTGGTGGAAGCCTTCAACCTCAAGGCTGCCATAGAATACCAACTGAGAAAGTATGAGGCGGCCCAGGAAACCCTCACTGATATGCCACCAAGGGCAGAGGAAGAGTTAGACCCCGTGACCTTGCACAATCAGGCACTAATGAACATGGATGCCAGGCCCACAGAAGGGTTTGAAAAATTACAGTTTTTGCTCCAACAGATCCCCTTTCCTCCAGAGACCTTTGGCAACCTGTTGCTGCTCTACTGTAAATATGAGTATTTTGACCTGGCAGCAGACGTCCTGGCAGAGAATGCCCATTTGACTTACAAGTTCCTCACACCTTATCTCTATGACTTCTTGGATGCCATGATCACTTGCCAGACAGCTCCTGAAGAGGCTTTCGTTAAGCTTGATAGCCTAGCAGGTATGCTGACTGAACAGCTCAGGAGACTCACCAAACAAGTGCAGGAAGCAAGACACAATAAAGATGATGAAGCTATCAAAAAGGCAGAGAATGAATATGATGAAACCCTTGAGAAGTACATTCCTGTGTTGATGGCCCAGGCCAAAATCTACTGGAACCTTGAAAACTACCCAATGGTGGAAAAGATCTTCCGCAAATCTGTGGAATTCTGTAATGACCACGATGTGTGGAAGCTGAATGTGGCTCATGTTCTGTTCATGCAGGAAAACAAATACAAAGAAGCCATAGGTTTTTATGAGCCCATAGTCAAGAAGCATTATGACAACATCCTGAAAGTCAGTGCTATTGTGTTGGCGAACCTGTGTGTTTCATATATTATGACAAGTCAGAATGAAGAAGCTGAGGAGTTGATGAGGAAGATTGAAAAGGAGGAAGAACAGCTCTCTTATGATGACCCAGATAAGAAAATCTACCATTTCTGCATTGTGAATTTGGTGATAGGGACACTTTATTGTGCCAAAGGAAATTATGACTTTGGTATTTCCCGGGTTATCAAAAGCTTGGAACCTTATAATAAAAAACTAGGAACTGATACGTGGTATTATGCCAAAAGATGCTTCCTGTCATTATTAGAAAACATGTCAAAACACATGATTGTACTTCGTGACAGTGTCATTCAAGAATGTGTTCAGTTTCTAGAACACTGCGAACTTTATGGGAGGAACATACCTGCTGTTATTGAGCAACCCCTGGAAGAAGAAAGAATGCATACTGGGAAGAATACAGTCACATATGAATCCAGAGAGTTAAAAGCTTTGATTTATGAGATTATAGACTGGAATATGTAGTAGTGTCTAATGATGGCTTTTGTCAAAATGGCTCTGTTAACTTTATATATTTGCAACTCTTTTATCTTTGTCCTTTGGCATCTTCACATTTGTTATACATTGAAATTTGTACACTTGAAAATTATAATGAAAATAATTTAGATGTATCTTTTGAGAAACATCACAAAAGGATTATAATAAAAAGAACTTGAGCCCTAGAAAGATTTATGAAAAATTCAAAAGTGAATGGGGAAATGTGTCATAGTATTTGTAATGCCTACATCTCCTCTCCTTTTTATCTTTTGTGTTTTGCTATACTCTGAAAAAAATCCTGCATGAGAAGATTATATCCTCCAGGGACCAAGCACTGTCAAGTCCAGAACTCAGTTAATATATAGGACATCTGGAGATTAATAATAATCTCAAAGATTTCATGTTATACTCCAACAATTTATCTTTGAGTAACATTAATGTGTAATGCATATGTTTTGCATAGATTTTAGTATGTCTTGGCAGAATTTTCCAATACAATTGTAATGCTTGCTTTAACAAAAATTCTTTATATTCCAAACTTTTTTTTAACCTGCAAGATTTAGTAGGAAATCATACCATAACAAAACTATGGTGCTGTGGTGTGGAGACAATAAACAACTGACATTCTCATGGTTCTCTTTTGTCCATTTGTTAATAATTTGAATATATGATGTTACTCTTTTCTTTAACTGATTAATAACACTTATTAATAAAGTTCTAAGATACCCTTAAAACTTGGTTTTTAATTCTTGTTTCTACTTAGGACACATTAATACTGGACTTTGTTTTTATGTTGTAACCTCTTGGAAAAAGAAAAATACACTATTCCAATCACCCCATCAAAGTCTTCTATTCATACCATAAAATGTTATCAATGGATTCTGAAACCTTATGACATTTAATTTTCTACAAGCTACAAGAGTTTTATTATTTCTTTCCTCCACCCCTATACCTTTGTTCTTCATAAAAGTGACTGGCATGGCCACTTAACCTTGTTTAGAAAAGTCAACAACATTAGGTTGAACCATATGAAATTGCTGATTTTAAAAGTTTTCAACCTACAAAAACAGTAGCTCCCATGGTTCAACCTAATAGCTCTCAATGAACAGTAGGAATTCCTACTATAATAATTTTTTTTTTCTTCAGGGAGGAAAAAAATAATGGCACCCAGGTGAAGCATGCTGAGAATAATTGTGTAGCATGATATCTTTGGGTACTGAAATTCTATATCTGTCTGAGAATTTGGCTCATTGTGAATTCTGCATGGGCTTGAAATTATGTTATATTTAGTCTGTTATCTGAGCTAATACTATTTATCTAGCTGATGGTTATGGCCCCATATTTGGAAGGAAATTCTAAAGGGATTATTAAGTGAGTTTATATGTTGGACACTGGAGAAAATTTTCCATTTCCTTACAAAGTATAGATAACATGCAGTGTCCTTGCTCAAGGAAGTGACTCCTTTCCAAACCTACTAGTTCCAAATAAACTTCTGGAGCATGTTAAGTACATGTTTTGCAGTTTCAGTTTTCCTGTTGGCATGTTAACTTAGACAAACGATGTGCATAACTGCTGTTAACTGAACTATTCCTGAAAGAAGAATGTGAATATTGGAAAGAACACAGGCACATATGAATCCAGACAGAAGCTTTGAGTCACGAGATTACGGCTCCCCAGTGGAAAATTCTTAAAGAGACTGGAATACCAGACCACCTGACCTGCCTCCTGAAAAACCTGTATGCAGGTCAAGAAGCAACAGTTAGAACCAGATGTGGGACAATGGACTGATTCAAAATTGGGAAAGGAGTACGTCAAGGCTGTATATTGTCACCCTGCTTATTTAACTTATATACAGAGTACATCATGTGAAACGATGGACTGGATGAAGCGCAAGCTGGAATCAAGATTGCTGGGAGAAATATCAATAATCTCAGATATGCAGATGACACCACACTTACGGCAGAAAGTGAAGAGGAACTAAAGAGCCTCTTGATAAAGGTGAAAGAGGAGAGTGAAAAAGCTGGCTTAAAATTCAACATTCAAATACTAAGATCATGGCATCTGTCCCATCACTTCATGGCAAATAGATGGGGAAACAATGGAAACAATGATAGACTATATTTTCTTGGGCTCCAAAATCACTGCAGGTGGTGACTGCAGGCATGAAATTAAAAGACGCTTGCTCCTTGGAAGAAAAGCTATAACAAACCTGAACATTGTATTAAACAGCAGAGACATCTACTTTGTCAACAAGGGTCCATATAGTCAAAGCTATGTTTTTTCCAGTCGTCATGTATGGATGTGAGAGTTGGATCATAAAGAAGGCTGAGTGCTGAAGAATTGATGCTTTTGAACTGTGGTGTTGGAGAAGACTCTGAGTCCCTTGGACTTTAAGGAGATCAAACCAGTCAATCCTAAAGGAAATCATTCCTAAATATTCACTGGAAGGACTGATGCTGAAGCCAAAACTTCAATACTTTGGCCATCTGACTCATTGGAAAAGACCCTGATTCTGGAAATGATTGAAGGCAGGAGGAGAAGGGGATGACAGAGGATGAGATGGTTGGATGGCATCACGAACCCGATGGACATGAGTTTGAGCAAGCTCCGGGAGTTGGTGAAGGACAGGGAAGCCTGGTGTACTGCAGTCCATGGGGTCCCAAAGAGTCAGATATGACTGAGTGACTGAACTGAACTGAACATACTAGTAAGAATCATTCACATCTGTAATTCTAAGTGTACACAGTTCAAATATAACAACTGCAAAGTTGTTGGGAAAGATTGAAGGCAGGAGAAGTGGGAACGACAGGACGAGATGGTTGGATGGCATTACCAACTCCATGGACATGTTTGAGCAAGCTCCGGGAGTTGGTGAAGGACAGGGAAGCCTGGCGTGCTGCAGTCCATGGGGTCAGAAAGAGTCGGACATGACTGAGCAACTGAACAACAACAACGTGAGATTATAGGTTGGATTATGTAGTAATGCCTGATAATGGCTTCTATTTAATTCTTCATTAGCCCCATTTCACAAATTTTTAAAATCTATATTTACCCTTGACAACGTTTTGGCTGTTCACTCAGTCGTGTCCAACCCCATGGACTGGAGAGTAGCAACCCGCACCTGGAGAGTAGCCCCTGCTCACCACAACTAGAAAAAGCCTGCATGCAACAATGAAGATCCAGCACAACAAAATCAATTTTTTTTTTAGAAAAGGGAACATGCAGTATAAGCTAAATCACTTTTGCATTCTCTCTGCCAGTAATAGTCACCAGGTATTGGCCTCAAGCAACAGTTGCTAGAGTGACATCTTCGTATAAGCAAGTAACCATAAAGAGCAATTTCTTTTCTACTTTAGGCTATAGAAAGGGCTGTGGCATGAGCCAAAGAACTGTTAAGAGTGGGTGTGTTTGCATTACTCTGGTGACCAGTACATAATGGTCCATGGCTGGACCATTTCTTTTGGCAGCGCAATGTGGCATGCAGGACCTTAGTTCCCCCCACCGAGGGATCAAACCCAAGCCCCCTGCAGTGGAAGTGCGGAATCTTAACCACTAGACCACCAGGGAAGTCCCTGGACAATTTATTAATCAGCAAATAAATATAGGCTCATTGTGCTATCTCAGGATAGACTGTGCTGTCCAATAAGACCAATTCTTATTAAAACTTAATGCCTTCACTCTATTTTTTAGTCCTTCAACTTTGTGGATCTCAGCAATGTTGAGTTTGGACCCTGGGCTAAGTTCTTTGAGAAGTACAAGTACTAAGTGAATAAGAACAGTTTTTTTCAGGTATGAAGTTTGGTTCATGACTTCATTTTTCTTCCATAATTTGGTTGCTTGATTGGTCTTAAGTTTTATAATCAAAATTCCCCTTCACATTCCATTTTTTATTTTTTAGAATTGATTGTGCCTCGTTGTGAATACTAACAAATATCAAGCAGAGACTATAATGAGTTCAAGGTAGGAGGAAATGAGCACCAAGTGATAATGAAAAGACTAAGGTATTGAGTTTCAGACTTTCCCCAGTCAAGCTGTAGGCCTTAAGAAACTCACCCCTTGAGGTCCCAGTCATTTGAACTACTAGATGCTCTTCACAGTTACTTCTGGCTACAACATCTGCTTCTGTATAAGTCATACAGAAGAAAGCTGCCTCCTTCTATGGCCTGAATATATAGTAATAAACAAGTCACTCAGGAAACACAATATATATTTGTATTAACAAATGTTTTCTGGTATTTTTACTTATGACAGTAAACATTAACCCCACAGGTAAATGTTGTTGTTATCTCATTGGATGCATTAACATTTTGACAACTACTAAGAAATTTGGATTTTTGTCTTTTTTTTCACTTGGAGATTTGCTTATAGCTCTAGCTATGAAAATGTATTATAAGGCAATCCTTGTTCTCTGCTATGGTTGTGCGTAAATTAAGAATTTTGTAAATATTTATAAATTACTTCTCAATTTCTCTCTTTATCTACTGATGTCTATTTATTGGAGAAGGGGATATGTGCTTTTAATTATTCCCTAAGATGGTATACCAAAAATGGTATATACTTCTGGAGTTTTATTAACACGTTATTATAGTATGTATTTTTAAAATTAGTTATTCTTGAAATAATTACAGTCTCTCATGCCCCTGAAGTGAGGCCTCCAGCTGCCAGTCTGCCAGAAATTTGGAAAGAAAGGAACATTGAGGTGAAGACGAAACAGAGCTTTAGCTATGTGATTTACTTTATGGCCCACCTTGGATCCCCTTCATGTCCAAATCTCGGTAGTTAATCAAATGTCTGCTGCCATTAACGGAACAGCAGTAATGGATAACAGAGTGGAAGTAACAGATGCCAGAGCTACTTCTGGAACTAACTCACTCAGTCATCAGTCCTCACACCCTTGTTTTAATACAAGGAGGAGAGGTCATGCAGACTTTCAAAAGGACAAAGCCACAATGAACAAGAAGAGAACTTCCAGTTTATAAAGCTTTCTTTTGGAGCCATTTCTTTTTTTGCATTCAAAGGGTCTATTTAGGAGGTAGTAGTGTTTATTGCTATAAAATGTATCACAAGACAAGAAATGAAAAATATCTCTCCCTTACCACACACCCCCATTTCTTTTTCTTTTATATCCTTTATTTTCTGCCTTTTGTCAATTATAAAAGGGAGTAATTTTCTGATGGCTGGTGGTTGAAAGCATAAGCAGGTATTAAACATGCATACCAACGTTTTAGCAATGTGTCAGGTAAGCTAGCACTATGATTATTAAGATGACTTTAGAACAATTTAACCATGCAGTTTTGCAAATTGAAATAACACATCAATAAAAAGTAATTCTTAAATTAGTAAAGCCAGAGGAAAATTTTAAAAGGAATCACTAAAAGCACTGGCTCTGTATAATTTGTAGAATACAGTAAGCTTTGTTTGTATACTTGTAGGAACTCCTATACTTTTTTTAAAAACTTTCTTTGATCTCAATAGAATAACAGTGACTGATGAAGATGTACAATATTGTTATTACTTAAAATGTCCCATGACACTGGGGATTAATTTGACTCTTAAGTCTAGAGCATACTTGCTTCTCTGTATCATAATCATTTTATATTGAAAAACAGAGCTGGGGATTAGCCATAAGGTAATTAATTCATCAGTTATAGTGCAGTCTTTTTAAAAATGTTTTATATTAGGCATAATGTCTTTTTAAAAAATATTATCTTGGCTGGAGACTGTATGGGGGCAG